CTTCCCCTGTGTTGAGAATAGACTATAGTAAGTCCCAGGGATCACTAGGTGAGTTGCAGAAGGTTGTGCTTACAAATTGTCAATCCCTGTGATTGTTTTAAGCACGCTGTTTAAATATGGAATAAATTTTTTTTTTTGCCTTTTGATAATTTCTTTGAATAGGACTGATAGTGGTAAGAGATGCCAGTCTGTAGATACAGATATAGAAGAGTTTTTCCTACAAAGGTTCTTTCTCTTTTTTTAATTTTTATTTTGTTTTTTTTTTTTGAGACGGAGTCTAACTCTGTCGCTCAGGCTGGAGTGCCGTGGCGCGATCTCGGCTCACTGCAAGCTCCACCTTCCGGGTTCACACCATTCTCCTGCCTCAGCCTCCCGAGTAGCTGGGACTACAGGTGCCCGCCACCACGCCCGTCTGATTTTTTTGTATTTTTAGTAGAGACGGGGTTTCACCGTGTTAGCCAGGATGGTCTCGATCTCCTGACCTTGTGATCTGCCTGCCTTAGCCTCCCAAAGTGCTGGGATTACAGGCATGAGCCACCACGCCTGCCCTCTACATAGGTTCTTTCTGATTGTTCTGTGCTTTAAAAAGTGGAGGGTGGGGAGAAAGAGGGCAGGGACGGTGGTACTGGTCTTAACAATTGGATATTATCCAAGAAGTATAAATGAAGCTGTAGAATGGGGTGCTGTCTAGAGTACTGAAAAGCATTTATGACAGAGTTCTTCCTTCTTACTGTCACAGTATATTTTACTCACAGGAGTCACTTTGAGAAATGTGATTTGTGATCTCTATACTTTGATTAAATTTAAAGAAGACCAACTTCACAAGGAAAGTGAAAAACAAGATTTGTATCAGTCCATGAAGTTCTGTTTTCAGCTTTTAGCCTAATAAAGGCCAACTTACGTAATTCCGTTGTAAAGATGTGAGAACTAGATAGCTTTCCAACCATAAAGTCTGACCTTCCTTAATTTACTTTAGGTGTTATATACATTGACAATATTAGGCATGTCTTTAAAATGTAATTGACTATGCTTTCCAGAAACAAATACTGTAGAAATTATGTGACTCTCCATTAATGCCTCTTTTGGAATGTACTTACTTAAAATGTGCTCATCTATATTCCTTGCCCCCCATCCTGTTCATTATTTTTAGAAGTTGGTGCGTCTTCCATAAACAGTCAGCAACTTTGTATGATGCTTGCTTTTGTCCTCTGTTGCAAGACTTATTTTGAAAATCTTTCTATATGGGAGTTAGAATGTAACAGTTGGTGGTCATGGATTGGTCTTTGGGCCTCCTGGAAACAAGTATAGTGATTATGTTAGTTCCTGCAAGACACTTCTGCCATAAATAATGCCTTTCAGTTTATTTCATTGTAGCTTAGTAGTAATGCTTGGTAGTTATTACTATATAGAGTGATTAATCTTACAAACTTACATAATGTTTTGACAGTCTCACCCTTTCTCTAAATTTTGATGATAAAATGGATGTGGTCTCTGAGGGGGAAAGGGTTTGAGAGAAATTACATCATGGTAAAATGTTCTAACTAAAAGTACACTGTCTCTCTCTCGGGCCATGCAGTCAGTGGTCCTCTGGCTGCCTAAGATTTCTTAAGTCACTGATAACCATTTAAACACAATAGTTGTATTTGAAGTTGCTATACTTTCATTAGTAATTTTGCCTAACCTTTGTGAACTAGCTCAGGCATATTAGTTAGGATTTTAGGTTTTATTTAAAGATAGTTATGTTTGTCTCTTCTCCATAAAATTATTTAGAAAAGTTGAAAGAATAACCCTCTTATTTTCCAATGTCAAAAAATATAATTATGTGCAAAGTAATCTTATAAGACTGAAATTGGATTCTGTCTTCCTCAGCTTATGCATCAATTTAGAGTTAAAAAAATATAGTAACTGTGATTAGGACAGAATATTGCTATGTTCTTGCCAGCCTTCTTTATTAGTTAAGATTAACTTTGATAGTAAATACAGTGTTGAGAATTATTAAGGACATTATTCAGACATACTGCTTCGCTAGTTATTGTGACATTTATAGGAGTTTTTAAAAAGGTCATTCCCTTGATGTAAATTTTGTATCAGCTGAAAGAATTGTTGGAAGAATATGTGCTGTGATTAAGATCATGGTCTGTGGGGTCAGTTAGTTTTAGATTCAACTCCTGACGTTACTACTCTTTTTGACCTTCAGTAGATGGCTTATCCTTGTTCTGTCTCTGTTTCCTTGTCAGTAAATGGGAACACTAATGGACATTATCTCACAGAGTTATTGGGAGGAGTATATGAGACGTGGACATAATAAACTGCTTACTGCAGTGCTGAGCACAGAATAAGTGCTAGTTAGTGTCTTTGGTTATGTTATGTTGAGATTGGAACATTTCTTAAAACGTTTCAATCTCATTTACTTATTAAATTACATTTAGAGTCTACTCTTTCCTCAAGGCAGTATAAACATGTAAGTTTTAAAAATATGAAATGCTAAAATCTTAAGGTTACAACTAGATTAGGTCCTGTTGATCTCCATGAAATTGAGAACTAACCATGGCAGCCCTACAGGGAAATTATGATAGAGAAAAAAAATTCCATTCCTCTTGGAGTTGTTTGTGTAGGTATATAGAGAGGTCATAGAGAGGTCACACACACGCATGTTTATTCTTATAATACATTAATAATAGATCTGAATTACTGACCTGCTTTCTTCCCTCCAAAATTCATAAAAAATGAAAATAGAAATGAAATGAAATCAGCATTCTTTATAGCTCAGGTGATATATATTATTACCCAACCTTAGGAATAGGAATGATTCTTAGACAGTAAATAAAACTTACACATATTTTTAAAAATTCAGCCTCTTAGCCGGGCACAGTAGCTCACGCCTCTAATCCCAGCACTTTGGGAGGCTATGGTGGGAGGATCACTTGAGGTCAGGAGTTCGAGACCAGCCTGGCCAACATGGTAAAACCCTGCCTCTACTAAAAATACAAAAATTAGCCAGGCGCAGTGGTGCGTACCTGTAATCCCAGCTGCTCGGGAGGCTGAGACACGAGAATCACTTGATCCCGGGAGGTGGAGATTGCAGTGAGCCAAGATTGTGCCACTGCACTCCAGCCTGGGTGACAGAGCAAGACTCTGTCTCAAGAAAAAAAAAAAAATTCAGCCTTTTTAGTACTGATCTACTTTTTATGTTTCCATAACTGCGTAATACAGTAATGAGTGGCTTAAGACATTGTGTCTAGAATATGTGTGGTGAACCTGTTGGACTTGAATGTAATCATTCCCTAATCTTACCACATAAAGATGGAATTAATAACCAGCACCACACCTGTGAGGAGAAATTCTGGAATGCCTCATCTTGCCTCCAGATAAAACATGTTCCTCCTTCCTTTAAGGTAAATGGCAGGAATATTGTCAATGAACAAAATCCTTTCACTAGTCGTTCCTGAAAAAGAATTATAGTTTGAAAATCAAAAAATAGACCGGGCGCAGTGGCTCAAGCCTGTAATCCCAGCACTTTGGGAGGCTGAGACGGGCGGGTCACAATGTCAGGAGATCGAGACCATCCTGGCTAACCCGGTGAAGCGCCGTCTCTACTAAAAAATACAAAAAAAAAAACTAGCCTGGTGAGGTGGTGGGCGCCTGTAGTCCCAGCTACTCGGTAGGCTGAGGCAGGAGAATGGCGTAAATCCGGGAGGCGGAGCTTGCAGTGAGCTGAGATCCGGCCACTGCACTCCAGCCTGGGCGACAGAGCGCGACTCCGTCTCAAAAAGAAAAAAAAAAAAAAAAAAGAAAATGAAAAAATACTCCTATTTTAGAACCTACAACGTGGAAGGCTTATAATAAGGTGAAAATGTACTGGTGGATTTAAAACTACAAGATACTTAATTATAGCCATGCACTAAGTTATACTGTATATTTTGTCATGCAAGAATAATATTTTTAAGAAAACTGATACTGACACATGTATCTTTCTAATCCCTACCTTTGCTTTTTTTTTAATTATTATTTATTTTTTGTAGAGATGGGGTTTCCCTATGTTGCCCAGGCTGATCTCAAACTCCTGCCTCAGCCTCCCAGAGTGTTAAGATTATAGGTGTGAGCCACAAAGCTTGGCCTGTTTTCTTTTCTCTTGAAATAACCTGAAAAAAGATATGTCAAGTAGGAATAAGTATGTAAATGTTTAGAATAGATGGCAGGTAGTTAAGTTAGAATAGTAATGTTGGGAGGTTGAATTGGGAGGATCACCTGAGACCAAGAGTTAGAGCCCAGCCTGAACAACATAGTGAGACCCCATCTCTACAGAAAAATTTAAAAACATTAGCTGTGCGTGGTGGTGCACACCTTTAGTCCTAGCTACTCGGGAGGCTGAAGTAGGAGGATCGCTTGAGCCCAGGAATTTGAGGTTGCAGTGAGTTACTATGATTGCTCCACTGCATGACAGAGCATGACCCTGTCTCTAAAAAAGAAAAGTAAAAGAATAGCAATGTTGAAAATGAGGTAATGAGGTGCCCCTCCCCCCAAAAAACGAGTAGTTGTTAACTTTTAGCTGTCATCGTGGTACAGCTACCATTTTAAGGGAAGGGTGGCCTTCCCTTAAAAACTTAGAAAAGTCGGGCCAGGTGCAGTGGCTCATGCCTGTAATCCCAGCACTTTGGGAGGCTGAGGTGGGTGAATTATGAGGTCAGGAGATCGAGACCATCTTGGCCAACACGGGGAAATCTTGTCTCCACTAAAAATACAAAAATTAGCTGGGCGTGTTGGTGGGCACCTGGAGTTCCAGCTACTCGGGAGGCTGAGGCAGGAGAATCGCTTGAACCTGGGATGGAGGTGGAGTGCAGTGAGCCGAGATTGCGCCATTGCACTCCAGTCTAGCAACAGAGTGAGACTCCGTCTCAAAAAAAAACAAAAAAAAAAACAGAAAACTTATAAAAGTCTTGTGAAGATAAGAGTTTTCTTAGGGGTTCTAGATTGTTATGTAACTTTTCACTAATTTCTAGGTATCTGGTGACCCATCTCATGGGGGCAGATCTGAACAACATTGTGAAATGTCAGAAGCTTACAGATGACCATGTTCAGTTCCTTATCTACCAAATTCTCCGAGGTCTAAAGGTACAGATAATATAAGTAATAATTTTTAAAAATGAATTCTGCCTTTCTCCCCTCCTTTTAGGGCTTAAACAAGTAAACTTCTTATGGAAAATTCAAACACATAAAATCACAAGTAAAGGTCATAGTACAATAAACTGCCATGTTCACTCAGTGACAACAGTTACCGACATATGGCCAATCATGTTTCTTTTGTATTTCCCAAGCCCTGGATTATTTTAAAGCAAGTCTAGACATTATATAATACCACCCATAGATACTTCAGTATGCACATCTGAAAGATAAGGACTCTTCATTCTTACAGCTAAACAATAATTTATTGATGTGATCTAATATCTGGTCAGTGTAATGTTGAGATTTTCAAAAAATCCTCAAGAAAGACTAATTTATTTGTTGGAGGAGCAGGTAAACAGTGTTTTAAAATTAAACCATCTTTGATATTTAGCTGCTTTGAGTCCTTATTGAGCTCCAGAGTGCCAACCAGAATAGATAAAAAGCTCAACTGAGTGGAGTCAATGGCTGTGGAAATTATAGTTATAGTTATGGTAAATGTACACAATACTGATAGTTACTTACGCTGATTTCTAATCTTACTGTTAACACTAGCAGTTCTTACTGATTCATGAAAATGTACAGCAAATATGTTATATAATGTGACAATAGAAGGTTGGAGGTAACTGACTTTTTTTCTTTTTTGCAGTATATACATTCAGCTGACATAATTCACAGGGTATGTATTATGACTTTGATTACATTATTTTGGGGAAGTGGGGTGAGAGTGGAAGAATGGCATTTAGCCAAGATCCTAATCTAAACTTACTTTAGCCATTGAAATGTTGATTGATTGCAACTTTACTCTAGGTTTAGGCTGATTAAAGAAAGAAGTTGTGTAGTTTTGTTCTATGTAAAGCTAACTTGGACTAGATATTGACTGTAGGATGGAGATTGTGTTTTGATAGCTGGATGAAGTCTTTTATGTCTGGATCCTCATTATTAACCTGTAGGGAGAAAATTGATCATGCATCATGAAGTTGATCCTGTCTTCCCTGTATTTGCTTCCTAGGACCTAAAACCTAGTAATCTAGCTGTGAATGAAGACTGTGAGCTGAAGGTAAAATGAAGAGACAGTATTCGTTGTTTGCTTTACTTTGAGATTGTATGTTTGACTAAGCAGGCAAACTTTCATAGGGAGTAGATTTATGAGCCATGACTATCCGAAATTCCTATTATTTTTATTACCAGACTTTGAAATGTAAACCATTTCTGAGTAAGCTAAGTGACATTGAAAGTGGCATCACTTGTTTTTATTTTAACATAAAGTTAAATTATAAATTTAATATATTCATAATAAAGGAAGATAATAGTCAAATATCAGGTAAGTGGTCCTAAAGAGGTGATAACTACATTAAATACATTTCTAAGAGGAGAAATGACAGAAACCCACTCACTCAAAATAATTCAAATAAAAGATAAGTGAATTAATTTTTTCTAAAGAGCAAGCAGCTCTAGAACTTATTTTGTTCCATTTCATTTTTTTTAACTTAAAAAAAAATAATTTCCATACATTAGAACGCACCATTTTCATTTTGGCAAAATTATGTATCCACTTAACTATCACATTTATGATAAAGAACATTTCTTTTTTTTTTCTTTTTTTTTTTGAGATGCAGTCTCGCTCTGTTGCGGTCTAGAGTGCAGTGGTGCGATCTTGGCTCACTGCACCCTCTGCCTCCCGGGTTCAAGCAATTCTCCTGCCCCAGCCTCCTGAGTAGTTGGGATTACAGGTGCATGCCATCACGCATGGCTAATTTTTGTATTTTTAGTGGAGATGGGATTTCACCATGTTGGCTAGGATGGTGTTGATCTCCTGACCTCATGATCCACCTGCCTCGGCCTCTGAGAGTGCTGGGATTACAGGTGTGAGCCACTGCTCCCAGCGAAGAACATTTGGATTACTTTAAAAAGTTTATGGCCAGGCGCAGTGGTTCATGCATGTAATCCCAGCACTTTGGGAGGCCGAGGCAGGTGGATCATGAGGTCAGGAGATAGAGACCATCTTAGCCAACACGGTGAAACCTCGTCTCCGCTAAAAATATAAAAATTTAGTTTGGCATGTGGCAGGTACCTAGAGTCACAGCTGCTCAGGAGGCTGAGGCAGGAGAATGGCATGAACCCAGGAAGGCAGAGCTTGCAGTGAGCCGAAATTGCACCACTGCACCCCAGCCTGGGTGACAGAGTGAGACTCCTGTCTCAAAAAAAAAAAAAAAAGAAAAGAAAAAGAAAAAGTTTATTGTGTCCCTTCCTAGTCTAGTCAATCCCTATCCCTCCACCCCTAATTCTGGCTCCACGCAACTATGCATGTGCTTCTAACACTATAGATTAGGTTTATCTTTTCTGGAGTTTCATGTAAATGGAATCATATAGTGTGTATTTTTGTGTGTCTGACCTTTGCTTTGTGTAATGATTCGGTATTGTGTGTGTCAGTGGTTTCTTCCTTTTTATTGGTAATAGTATTTTGTTTCATGAACATATCAGAATTTTTAAATCTGTCCACCTGCTGATGGACATTTGCTTGAGTTTGAGGCTATGTAAAGCAACTTTGAATATTTATGTGCAAACCTTTGTGTGGACATAAGTTCTCATTGCACTTGATTAAATACCTAGGAGTGACATTTTTGTTTTGCTTTTTGTAATTTCAGTTTAAGTTCTTGCTGTATATTTCCCATACATTCTAAGCATGGACCAGGAAATCTCTTTATGAAAGTGCTATTTTGTTCTCCTTTTTAATAAGGCGGCAGAAGTTTGTTTGTTTGTTTTTTTGTTTCCCCTGCCTGTTTCTCAGTCTTAGCAGTTTGTCTGTTCCTGTTCTGCCCTTTAGATTCTGGATTTTGGACTGGCTCGGCACACAGATGATGAAATGACAGGCTACGTGGCCACTAGGTGGTACAGGGCTCCTGAGATCATGCTGAACTGGATGCATTACAACCAGACAGGTATTACTTGCCTTGGTTATTTAGGGCCTTATTTAATTCTATGTTGGATGCATTTGGGATTCTCAGAAGTAGAGATGGTGGGAGTGGGAAGAAATATCTTTTCTTCCCTCAGTGATCCTTTTAAAGCCTACAAGTAAAAATATTTCACTTCCTCAGATGGGGAAGTGGGGTTTTATACACAGCCTTTAAATCTTGTGATTTAGCAATTGGGTTTTTATTTATTTAGATTTTAATATATTCTCTGAGTACTTACACCTAAAGACAATGAATCCATAATTTTAACCCCTCAATGTTACTTGGAAGAATCTACCATTCTGCTAATACGAAACTTACCCCTTTTTAAACAGCTTATTTCTCTTAAGTATGTTTTGACTTACCACACCCTTGAATAGCCCTTTAGTCAGGTGATCTTAGTAAGCTATTTATGTCTGTAAAAATGACTATGATTGTTGAGCCTCAGATGTCTTAAGTAGTAATTTGAATATTTCACCCCTAGTTATGGTTTCATTTGTTGCCATTGTTGCCAAGAATAGTAACAGTGACATTGCATGTACTTTTATTTCTCTTTAATTTTGCCAGTTGATATTTGGTCAGTGGGATGCATAATGGCCGAGCTGTTGACTGGAAGAACATTGTTTCCTGGCACAGACCGTATCCTTTAAAAAGTTTTGGATTCTTGTTTCTTATCTGTATTCCAGTGTCCATGGATGTATACTCCTTTTACTTATCTCTAGGGAAGGCTCTCAGTTTTTTGCTTTTATAGTCTAGATAATGCATTATGAAGTTTTTCTTCTTACTGAGTAGCTTGCCTTGCCAAGAAAGAGGCTTCAGTTTACTTTTGTGAGTTGGAAAAATTCCTCATAAGTTGAAAAACCCATCAAATCTGTCTTCTTTTTGCAGCAATCCCTTATTAATCATCCCACAGCAGTTCTGAGACCTGAGCATACTCATGAGAAACTCCAGATCCCAATGACGGGTTTAGTCTGCTTGTATAAACACTTAATGAGCACAAGATACCTGTTTCTAAATGAAGGACATCTTGCTAGTATGTTTGTTTTGTGTATTAAAAAGGCTATGTTTGGTACCTGCAATGATATACTGCTTACTTGTTATGTTTGTTGTTTGACAACAAAGAGTAAAAGCAAGAAGTGAAAAGGTTACCATGTAATGTACTTTTGTTTTTCCAGCACAAACTTTTTCCCAGATTGCAGCCAAACCCTAATTTACTCCAAGACTTACTGTCTAGTTTACGGTTTATTATAGCCCCTTTATTTTAGTTCCTTTCCTATCTGCGGTATGCTTGTTTCATTGTTTAGTAATAATGTCATGAGAAATGTGGTTTGTTGGAACTCTTATCAGTTCTACTTATGGAAGATGTTTAGGTGAGAAAGAATGTTAAAATATATATCTAGAATTAGTTTTAGGGATTTTTTTTTTTCTATAGAATTGAGTTAACTAGCCTTCAGTTGGTTTTGGTTGGGCTATTAGACATGCTACAGTTACCTCTGATCTATTATGCCTAGAGATCTAAAAGTCGTTTTAGTCCCTTACCTAAATAAACTCATTGAGTTTATAAACCAGAATGTCAGTTCACTTGCTTACAGTTTGGGATGTACTTCTATAATAGCTGTGATGTTTGTGATGTCTGCCCATGTGTTCTAACTGTCTTCTGCTAGAGAGAATGTACTTGCATTATGAATTGAAAAATCCTCTATTTCTCAGGTAAAGCTGTTTCTTTCTCTGAATATTAGGATTGATACAGAATGGAGTCTCCCTGTACATAGCTTACCTTATTACTCCCTACCTCTGGATTTTAAGTTAGTTGAATACCTAGTATTTCTCCTTTGTCCTTTGTTTCATTCACCTTATATCTGTTTCTCAGAAATTTGGTATATATATATTACAGTCCAAGGTAAGAGAATTAGAGAAAATTTATACTTCCCCCTTTCCTCAGGTACATATCTCAGAGTCCCATCCTTGGTTTGTCCTCTGGAGTAACTGCTATCCTGATGCTATTCTCTGTTCCCCACTCCCCTTCCTCTTCTTGTGTCTGTATCTCCAGCTACCATTCAGTCAGTCACAGACCTCCATGCCGGTGTAGACATACAAGGTGGCAGAGAGGGAAAAACAGTATAACATACAGGTTAAGCACATGCTCTGGAGCCAGACTTCCTGGGTTTAGATCTTAGCTCTTTTATTTCCAGCTGTGTAACTTTGAGCAAGTTTTCTAACCTCTATGTCTCTCAGTGTCCTAACCGTAAAATGATGATAATCATGCATACTCACAAGGGTGTCGTAAGAATTCAGCCAGATAGTAACTGGAAAGTACTGAGACGAGCCTGCCAGTAAATGTTAGCCATCATCTTTAGTAATGACCTTGCAAAACAGATTACCCCTTCACCCTCCCACTTTATTGTCTACCTGTGAATCATTAATGTTTTGTTTTGTTTTTAATTCTGTGATAGGTAGAAAAGGATGGCTCTCCTTGGCAGACTAATGTTAAAAAGTTTTCAAAGCAATGTGGGTCTTGTACCTTTGTGGTCCGGTCTCACAGTCACCTGTCTATTCCCTGAGCCTTTTAAATGCTAACTTTCCGCCTATAAGAAATCGTCCCTTTGTGCTTACGTCTTTTTCTTCTGTGAACTTTAGGTAAACAACCTAGTGTTTCAACTTATTAATAGGGGATTCATTTTTTAATACATGAGAATTCATTTCAAAATTTTGGTTTTAGTTATTTATCGTTTCTATTCTACTTGGCTCTTTTTCAGACAGATGTTCTCTCCTGGATTGTAAAAGTCGAATTCAAAGGATTTTTATTTGTAATATACTTAACCTTTCTCTTGTAAGTTGCCATCTGTGTAGATACAGCTTCGATTGCCTGACAAGAAGAAAAGAGGAAAATGTTTCCCATGATCTTTTCCTGCCTGAACTATACAGTCACTTGTGTTCCAGCATAGTGGTTCTTAACCCTCATAGTGTGTCAGAATCACTTTGCAGAGCTTTTAACAACTCAAGATGCCTTGGCACCACCCTAAAGACTCCATTTTGTTGTCGTGGGTCAAAGCACAGTCTTCTAGTTTGCAGCTAGTGTTGAGTACAACTAGAGTTCAACCGAGTTGAATTTTAGTTTAATCTTGACTGATCTTGAAGATGTTAGTAATCTTTATTCTTTTTTTTAAAAAAGCACCAATGAGATCAGAAGGTTAATTAGAAAACATCTAGTTGAATCGCCTGTTTAAGAGGAGGAAACCAAGACCCAGAGAATATAATCCAAAGCTACTGGTTACGTAGCCCACAATTTCTTTTCTAATATTCTGTTCTTTGCTATTCTTCTAATTTGTAGAACTCCTCTTTTCAAAACCTCTGGAGAATGTATTGGCCTCATACCCTCTTCCTTCAGCCTGAAAGACATGCAACTGCCACTTATTTATGATTTTTAAATGCACCCTCTAGAACAGGGGTGTCCAATCTTCTGGCTTCCCTGGGCTACATGGGCCACACATAAAATACACTAATGATAGCCGATAAGCTTAAAAAAAAATTGCAAAAAGAAACTCATAATGTTTTCAGAAAGTTTGCAAATTTGTGATGGGCTGCATCCAAAGCCATCCTGGGCCACATGCAGCCCGCAGGCCCTCCTGGGTTGGAAAAGCTTGTTCTGGAAGGTACTCGTTGTTTGAGTGTCCAGTTTTCTCCCTGTTTTCCTTATTTATTGATCATTTTGCATTTGGAATTGGTGATTTTGGCTTGTAAGTAAGAACTAGGTACTAGAACTTTTGTGGTATTGCAAATGTTTTATATCTGTGCTATCCAATGTGGTGGTTGTAGGCACCAGCTGCCTGTGGCTAGTTATTAAGCAATTGAAATGCAGCTAGTGATGAGCAGTAACATTGTTGTGGAGAAGAAAACAAGAAATGTAGCTAGTTTAACTTGGAAACTGAATTGAAAATATTTTTGTGGTTAAATGTACATAACATAAAATTTACCATTTTAACTTTTTTTTTTTTTTGGAGACAGTCTTGCTCTGTTGCTCAGGCTGGAGTGCAGTGGCATGATCTTGGCTCACTACAACCTCTGCCTCCCAGGCTCAAGCGATTCTCCTGCCTCAGCCTACCAAATAGTTGGGATTACAGGTGTGTACCACCACACCTGGCTAATTTTTGTATCTTTAGTAGGGATGGGGTTTCACCATGTTGGCCAGGCTGGTCTCGAACTCCTGGCCTCAAGTGGTCCACCCACCTCGGCCTCCCAAGTTGCTGGATTACAGGCGTGAGCCACTGTGCCCGGCCCCATTTTAACCATTTTAAGTATACAATTTAGTGGCATTAATTACATTCATGATTTACAATCACGACTACTATCTATTTCCAGAATTTTTTCATCACCACAGGTGGAAACACTCAGCCCATGAAACAGTAACTTCCCATTCATTCTCCCTTCTGGTAATCTCTGTTCTTTCTGTCTCTGTGAATTTGCTTATTCTAGATATTTCATAGAAGTAGAATCATATTATAGTATATTTGTCCTTTTGTGTCTGGATTATTTCACTTAGTATAATGTTTTCATGGTGCTTCCATGATGTGTCATGTATCAGAATACTATTCCATTGTAAGTATTTAATATATCCCACATTTTGTTAACCTGTTCATCTGTTGGTAGACAGTTGGGTTGTTTTTACCTTTGGCTATTGTGAATAATGCTGCAGTGAACATTGTCATACAAGCATCTGTTTGAGTCCCTGCTTTTGATTCTTTTGGTTATGCACCTAGGAGTGGAATTGTTGCGTCATATGTTTAACTTTCTGAAGAGCACCAAACTCTTTTCCATAGTAGCTGCACCATTTTAAATGCCCACCAGCAATGTATGAGGATTCCTGTATCTCCACACTTGTTCTTTTTTTTTTTTTTTTTTTTTTTTATTTAATAGCCATCCTAGTAGTTACAAAGTGGTATCTTATTGTGGTTTTGATTTGCATTTCTCTCATGACTAACGATTTTGAGCATCTTTTCATCTGCTTATTGGCCATTTGTATATCTTCTTTGGAGAAATGTCTATTCAAGTCTTTTGCCTATTCTTAATTGGGTTGTTTGTCTTTTTGTTGTTGAGTGGTAGTTCTTTATATATCTTGGACCCTTATCAGATACATGATCTGCAAGTATTTTCACGTATTTTGTGGGTTGTCTTTTCACTTTCTTGACAATGTCGTTTGACACACGAAACATTTTTAATTTTGATAAAGTTCCATTTTTTTTTCTTTCATTGCTCATGCTTTTTTGATGTCATGTTGTAGACTATATTGCCAAATTCAAGGTCGTGAAGAATTTGCCCCTATGTTTTCTACTAAGAGTTTTGTAACTACTAGGAATATAATAGGGTTTAGCTCTTATACTTGGGTCTTTGGTCCATTTTGAATTTTTATAGATGATGTGAGGTAGGGGCCCAACTTCATTCTTTTGCATCTGGAAGTCCAGTTATTCTAGCACCATAAAGCGACTATTACTTCCCCCATCGAATCAACGTGGAACCCTAGGATTTCTCCTTTGTTTTTGGTTTCATTCACCTTTTACCTGTTTCTTAGAAATTTGGTATATATAATTAGCAATACATGTGTGGGTTTAATTCTGTACTGTGAATTCTATTCTATTGGTTTG